CATCTCAAACCAGCAATGTCAAGGATAGAAACAGATGTGTGTGTGTGCTTTTTTGAATGTGTGTATCTTATTGATCTAAAGTCTGTTGAGTTCATTTCAATTTACATTATATCTAATGAACTATTGGAGAAAAATATGAACCTAATGTTTGAGTGTGTGTGTGTGTTTTGCAGACCTGTGGCTACGGTGTGAAGGATGAGGACTTTGCCTGTGTGTCGTGTCCACATGGGAAATATTCCAAAGGGAAGTATGAGATCTGCAGACGGCACAAAGACTGCGACGCGCTCTACAAAGCCACTGTTCGCGTCGCGGGAACTCCAGACAGCGACGCTGAATGTGGACCCTGTTTACTAGGGTAAACAACACAAACTGCACAAGATTCACAAACTATTTGAATTTAAGTTGCATTATACAGGCATTTACTACACAATTGAAAAAGAAGTCCCACTGAAGCAGAATGCATGGTCACTGCCTTGCTTAAAGGTGCCCAAACCAAGTTGCTATTTAAGAAAATGGCAGTGAATGCATTTCCCTCCTCATAAAACAAAGCCTTTTGGAACTTTTACATCTACGTTTACTTGCCAATAGCCTTTTTTCTCTTGGTGCACTGCTGCATTTCTTGGAACACTTAACATCAAAAACTCAACATCAGGAAAACATTGTCCATCAGCATTCAATATGTTTGAGCACCAAGCATCATGCTGTTATCACAGAGTCCGCCTCCTCTTTTCCCGCCGGAGTCCTGTGCTCTGTCCTGCGGTTCGCCCATTAGGTGCTGCTTTATCCGGGATGTCATGATGAAGCCAGGTTTCTGTAAAGATGTGGGCTCAAAAGTCACCGACCTCCCGCCACTGGGATAGCCAGGAGTAGGCTGGGTAGTGGAGTAGCCTCAGGTCGTAGCTGAGTTAGCTTAGCTTCCATCGCGGCTCTCCTCCTTCTCTGGCCTGCGGCAGTACGGTGGCTATTGGTCCGGCGGGTTTGGCTAGGTGGTTAGCCGTGGGCGAGGTCCGCTGCACCTCTCCGATATTGACTGTTCTTTGTATTATTTCTTATTGATTTGTATTTCTTATTATTTTTCTGAACCATACTTCATCCGATATCTATGATTGAATGTGGGCAGTAGATATCTTGAAGGAATTGGCATAAATATGAGAGATTCATGATTCTCCTCCTCCCGTCATCACTCTGGATGTTGTCCCGCTACCTTTTTGCTTGTCTTGGCTCTGAGTCTTCTTTTCACAGGAAGTTTTTGTTTTTGCTCAGGAACACTGAGTTTGGTCACGTCTAAGTCTGCATCTGTACTGTATGTGCCGTACTGCATGTATGGCTGTTGTAGTCAATGCCTGTTAGAAGCAGAACTGAACATGCCTGAACAGTAGCAATAAAGTTCAGTTAAAGTCTGTATCTCAGCAGAGAAAAAGACCTTGAGCAGAATGAGAACGAGTCTGTTGTGACAGACATGTCTATCTGCTGGTTTCCTTGGAAGAAACTTCAGTAGCACTTTAAAATAATTCATGTTTTTGAGCCATCATCAAGCAATGAGTTCACAGACTTAATTAAGGGCTCATGAAGATGAAGAACCATGCTTTTCATCTGGGTACAACAAACTATTAACTCAATTCTTGTTTTAAATGTTACTATAACTAATCGATACAATGTGAGAGGTAATGTATTAGTAATTCATTGCATTGTAGCTTGTGCACGTTTGCTATCCATCCTCTAGTTTAAGTCTTTTGTAAGAGTTTAATACAACTAAGGTATAAAAACATCTACAAAGATTAAGCAGACCTTTTGCATATGATTTAATTACATGAACAACCATTTAGAGTAATACTTTGGAGTACAGGCTGAGTTAATTCTCTGTGGATCATTTACAAATAATGTACTCATCATATATTACTCTGATGTTTGCTTATCTTCATAAAAATCTTTTTAGCATTTGTAGTTGTTTGTGGTTGAAACAGTGACTAACGTCGAATGGTAGAAATCCTAAATCAATCACCAGCAACCAAATCAACTAAATCATTCTCATCTTCTTGTGACGCTGAAGTGACCAAGAGCACGAGATTGAACCGGTTTCTCTGACCATATCCAGATATATGAAGGCATCAGATAATTACCTGCATGCCGCACACATTATGTAAATACTGCTCGTGTTCTCAAGCCTAAATGATTTAATACCACCAGTCAGTCACAGACTCGACTCCCTCTCTTCTTTCCTCTAATAGACTCTTCATGATTCAGGGCGATATTATGCACCAAGCCATCTTTAGTGCCTTCAGGGCATCAATTATGTACATTTCTTCACCGAGGCAAACTTTTAACCTCAGCTGCTTCCCCATACTTATACAGCATGTAGGTACAGTATGTCTAAAAGGAGGCCACACATTGTATACACACCTGCTGTGCTTGCAAATAGTGCTTGAAGAATTTTAAAATGTTCCTTCAGCTATTTTTTCTCCAGTAAGTTTAACCAGGTCTAGTGTAGCCTAATTGTATAGTCTGACAAGTTGCTGGTTTATACTCATGTACTTTGTGTCTCCCAGGTATTACATGCTGGAAAACAGACCCAGGAACCTCTACGGGATGGTTTGCCATTCCTGCCAGAACGCACCACGCAACACCAAAGAATGTAAGACCAACCTCTTCACAGTTTAATTTCTCCCTCCCCTTCCTTCCGCTCACTTCCAGCCTTTCGTCCCAACAACCTTTTATTCTCTTTTCAACTATGAATTCCCCCTTTTTTCTTTTTTCAACATTTTATCTCGACAGCTTTCTCGGTCCTAACACGGACCTGGTTTCCGTTGGATTCAAAGCTACCGAACATTAAAGTTTTCTGTCTAAATAAAAGGAAATAAAAAAGGGGGCATGCTGTGAAAAAGCAGATGTTGAAAGCCTGGAGTTAGTGTGGGGGAACAATCGGAGGTCAGAAGTTGTAGTTAGTTCTGGTCACTGTCCTCCTCAGTCAGCAGGCCTCGCCGATGGACACGAAGGAGTCGAACAACCCCAACTTCCCCTTTTTGCATCCCTATTTTCTGGCTCCAGAAGGAGGTTTGGCAGCTTATCCATTAACCTCACTGCCTCAGTGATTACCCTGCATACCTGACACAAGCATCTATGTGCGTGCGCATGCACGGCGCCATCTGTTGCTGCGAACACATCTCTAGACGATAATATTTACTAGACGTTTTTTCTGTCTCGCGTTCACTATCAGCCTCCGCAGTTCATAAACATTTCCTTACAGTTGCAAAAAAAAAAAAAAAAAAGCGTGAATGTTGTCGAGTGGCAGTCAAGCGAAAAATAAGTTTCTGATATTTTGCAGATTGTATAGTTGACTGTGGTGGTAACACATACAGGAATATTGCAACCAGATGATGCAGTGTGATTCTGTTCCCCGTGAAGCTGCAGAAAGCAAAAGGGTCAGATTGTCAGATTACATTATTGAAATTCAGTTCAGCATTATAGTTTATTATACAGTATTTTACATTTCCTCATGTTAAATCTGAATACATTGTCAATCACCACAGTGTCTCCTTTGAGGTTATCGCTAATGTTGATTACAAATAAAAATTATTTTTTCATTTTAAATTGCATTAATAACTTTAAGGTCATCAGTTTACTTTAATTTATCTCTCGTAGCGTCCTGCCGTCTTCTTCCCAGGCATCTGCACTACCTTTACATCTATGTTATGAAGTCAGTTAGTTTGAAACTCTAAATCTTTTTAGGACACTCTGGAAAATAGAGAAAGATAATTCTTAAATGTAATTAAATGTCCTCTTGTGTCCTTTATAATGATACAAAAAGCCTTAGATATAGTTAACACCACCATGAAAATGAGAAGGAGATTAGACTTCAATCCATTAGAACAAAATCAGATACAGATAACGGTCTTCACGGACAAAACAAATGTACGTTTTATCAAGAACATTTAGTTAGAAGATCTGTCTCAAAATTAGATCGTTGTCAAACTGAAAATAATCTTTCAGTGGCGGTAAGATTAATAGACTTTCAAGACATTTAAGCAATTTTCGATACTTGTCAAGATGAGTATTTATTGCAGAGTTGGAGGTGGATATTCTCACCGCCCTGCCCTCTGTGGGTTTGTCCACATGTGACAAATAGATCAGATTGATCTGATAAAAGGGGATGTGAATAGTGTCTTTGTTCCCCCACTGATACATACTCCAATGGGAATGATATTTATGGGCCCATAATTGCTCAAAAACCACTTTGAGTGTAATTGAAGAGGACGGAAATGAATGGTATTGTTATTGTGTCATATTTAATGAGTATGTTATGAAAGATAAAAAAAACAAAAAGCAGCCTGGGCCTGCAGAGGAGAGGGTGTGAAGTAGGAGCAGGAATATGCATGTGTGTGTGTATGTGTGTGTGTGTGTGTGTGTGTGAATAAACACTTGCTTTTCAACAGCAACCTAATTGTTTCTCCAAGGCATAGAAATGAGTGATTGAATGACACTGTGCAAAAAAGAGATAGAATTATATCTCTAGTAATTTCCCTTTATATTCAGATTCAAACTTATTTGTGTTTTGCAATTATTTTTGCGCTGACACAATTTCAACATTAAGGCTTTTTGTTTTAAAAGAATAGTTGGACATTTGGGGATCTACGCTTACATCCCTACTGAGAATTAGATGAGAAGACTGATACCTCTTTCATAAAGGATACCTGTATGTCCGTTAAGGATTTTCTCTATGTATTGAGATACTTTTTGGGGTATTTGTGCTTGCTTACAGAGTTGTATTTGTTAAAAAATATTAGAAAATAATAAATGCACAACTTCTTATGTGAAAATGGAGAATAACCTGACAAAGGAGTAATTGCTGTTGTTTTATGATCAATGATAAGAGATGATAAGGAGATGCAAAACAGACAATAAGAAATATTAAAAAAACAATTATAACTTTAAAACTTTTAACACAAGTTGTAAATGCAGTAGTCTATGGTTTTCTGAAAGAAGTTTGATTAGTTTGGATAAAAGATTAAATCACAGAGAGGAGCATTCTCCATTTCTCCATTCTCCGCTTCTGTCAAGTCCGCCCGTGGTACATTTTAATTAAACCCTCTTTAGATGTTCGAAAACATAAAAATGATGCACTCCCAACAGTAAATACAAAAAGGAGCTGAAGGCTGGGAGTTCTACTTGCTCAGGGTGAAGGCAGGCTGACACTCGCCATGTAATCTGTAAATTACCCTGGCTCCTGCCTCGCTCTGTGTGTGATAATTAAAACTTTAGCGGGTATGTGAAAGAAAGAAAGATGATTAGCGTGTTACTGCTTGCGCTGATGCTACTCTTTGGCAGGCAGACCATACGAGTCTGTTGTTCAATTTTCACCGTCACCTTTTGACTTTTGCTGCCATTTTACAAACAGGCACCAACACACATTAATACTTATCTCACCATCGAGAGACATCAGAAACTGTAATCTTATTATTCTTTCACGTGTCTACAGAGACAGCTATTATTAGAAGCTAACCTTCGCCTCATTCCTGCTCACAATCTTACCTCAAACAAAAATGCTTTGATATCTTTTTTTTCTTATATTTTCCTCTCAGTGTGTTTGGTCCTGAGTACCCAGATTGCCCGTCAGAATTATCATTTTGCAGTGTGAATTCAGGCTGAGAGACATGATCAAGAGACCAAACCGCAAGATGCTAAACAAAATTCCAGTTCAAGCTCATATCCTTATCCAGAGTGTAAACACACACTCAGAGTTAATGTCTGCAACCACAGGGCACTGATGTGTGTGTGTGTGTGTGTGTGTGTGTGTGTGATGACATGAGGTGCTGAGGCCACGGGAAGCATCAGGGCACATGCCAAAGAGTTCTACAGTGTGTATCAACTTGGTGAAATAAAAGACCGATTGAAAGAGCTGATTTATGAGCCGTCAGGAGTTTACAGCTCCATTTGGAACGAGGGAAAACAGTTGATGAATAATCCAGAAAAAGAGACAGAGGGGAAGAACGAGCAAGACATTTGGACAGAGAGCTTCCTCTATTACAAAATGATGTCATGGAACACTATTGAGGGGGGAATAAAAAAGTCAATAAAATGCAATGCCAAAGCTAACATGCCGTAAACCAGTGACAGATGGCATGTTGCCTCTGCCAGTGACAAATGTCCAAGCCTGACGGTATTTCTGGTACTTCTCTTTTCTGTTGTATTCTGTCATCTCTGGAAGGAAGTGGTGCATCGTTCATCCAACTTTAAAGGAATAGTTTAACATTTTCTGAAATAGTTATTTACCCTCCTAATGAGAAGATTGATATAACTGTGCACGGTAAATATGTTAGCTTAGCTTAGCACAAAGACTGGAAACTGGGTGAAATAGCTATCCACGCTCAGTTTTAAAGTAGGTGAATCTGCCCACAAGCACCGCTAAAGTTAAGTAATTTACATGTTTAATCCATATTTAGCTAGCTGTTTCCCCTTGTTTCCAGTCTTTGCGCTAAGCTAAGCTAATCAGCTGCTGGCAGTACTTTTATATTTAACTGTTAAGACATAATAGTTGTATTTATCTTCTCATCATACTCATGGCAGGAAAGTGAATAAGCATATTTCCCAAAATGTCAAACTATTCCTTTAACCATGATTGCTGTGTGTTAGCCCTGTGATAGTAGCTAAGGTAGCTATGTGTCTGTGTATGTTTCACAGGCATGGCAACCAGCAGGCCAAAAGAAAAACCTATTATTGACCCTGGCAGCACTACTGTGTTCCCTCATCTACATAAAGGTAAACACAAATAAATACTCACAGAAATATGTAAGTTTCATCTATCTACAACTATCAATTTCTTTACATGTTGTCTCTTTCTCACACTCTCACACACACACACACACACACACACACACACACACACACACACACACACACACACTTAAATCATTAATACTACTTTACATCATTTCCTCCAATGTTTCAGATTCCAACGGACAAGGTCACCTAGCAACGGCTCTCATTATCGCAATGTCAACCATTTTCATCATGGCCATCGCCATCGTACTCATCATTATGTTTTACATCCTGAAGGCCAAACCGAGTAGTCAGGGTGAGACTGACACACACACACACACGCACACACACTCTCATGTTAAAGGTTGGCATCTGTGTGTGACGTTCCCTGTGTGTGCTCGTCTACAGCATGTTGTTCTGGACAAGTTGTGAAAGCGGTGGAAGCTCAGACCAACAAACAGGAAGACAAGAAAGACGTCCCTGGTGAGACATGACACATACACACAGAGACACATTTCATAATTGATGAGCTCAGGCAGCATTTAAGCTTCTTAATGACTTCCTGTTTGGTCTCGCTCACAAACTGACTTACCTCCCATCTGTATTCTGTCCTCATAATTGGGTTTCGTGTTTAGATACACGCTAGTATCCTGGGCCATGAGCCTTAATCTGGTTTTTGATTTTATACCTGATCTTGTTATTAATATCCTTGTGTACATGATTCTAACATTATCCACATTTTTGGCCATACGCATGGCCACCACGATAAGGGCTTTGATCAGGGTTCATGAAAACAAGTGATGTTATCTAAACGCCAAAAACACATATATGTAATACTCAAAAAATGTGTTTAATAAGTAACATACTCGTGAGCAGGTGAGGAACTCACTGTTTGAGCTCCAGACTAAGTGAAGAAATAGTGCCAATAATTACACTTTTATCTTTGAGAAAACTGCACATGAACATTTTTAGAAACTATAATTATTTTTCATTTTTAAATCAAGGGTGAGCGGTAAAAGCCAAAAGTACTTGAAAGAATAAAAGTAGCTGTAGTTACATTATTGATATCATAGAGTACAAACTATAATGTATTTCTTTTGTAATTCAAAGAGTAAAAAGACAAATTGCAGAAACCAAGTAAAGCATGAACATACAACCATTCCGTGACTGTTTATGTGCAGACCATCTGTTATTTCCTCACTAAAATTCTCTGTTTTCATATCTGTAAAAATAAACACAATGTCCATGTTTCCATAAACTTCTCTAGGACACATTGCACGGGTCCACTTAAAGAGACCCCACAAAATATATACTCAATAAATAACAGATGCAGTTTAATCTCCAGCTACTTAAAATACATTCCGAACAGTACAAAGACACACAAAGCCATAATTATAGTAACAACTATGAAATGACTCCAAAATAGTCAAAGTGACAAAGAACACAATTTACTTATCAGTCAGTTGAGGCATGAACAGATACCACCCAGCAGTGATTAGAGTAGACTGTAATTTTACTCAATCCTGCTGCAAAGTCCTCTGTAACACTGATTCAGGTAACTGTATGTCTGGCTTTTGTGGTAAGCCCAAACACTGCATGTTATCTGTGAACGAGCAACAATTTCACACTGGAAAAAAAGTGCTCCCTTCAGAATTGTAGTTTTGTATGAATTATGGAACACTTGAACTCTCACTTCATGTTAGGATCTGCCCTACAACATCCACTGCTGATGAAGTCTACATGCAATATGTAATCAAACTACCCGAATCACATCTAAATGTTAACAGTGTTGGCTCTGCGTGTCAGTCCAGTATGCCTGTGCATATTTAGGATTTGTAATATAACATATGCAAATGCTAGTGTGATCAAAGGACCTGCAGTATGATGAGTGCATCATGATGGAATGCGAAGCTTCCAAGGCAAAAGCCATACGTTGCTTTAGGCGCCATTTCTCCTGACAATGATGCTCTGTTCAATTTCACTCCCAGACTGACTGACTAACCACTTACATGTGGTATGGATGCAAACACACACGCACACACTCACACACACTGTATCTGTGGTCGCAGACACATTATGTGGTACAATGAGGTTGTGGATTTAATAATGTAATAGCTAAAAAAAACTAAAGAAAACTGATAGAGTAGTTATGGTATGACAAAAAAACGCCTGCATTGTTACTTACTGTTTTGTGTGTGTGTGTGTGTGTGTGTGTGTGAATGCAGTGTGTATTTTGGAAGATAAGCCCATTGCTCGGAGCTCTACCGGAGCTAGCTGTCACTCATGTAGACACTGAGTTAATCAGGCTGACAGACACTTAAACAGAAACAAACTCTCTCTCTCTTTCCTCACACACACGCACGCACACACACGCACACTCACAAAGCATTTGTTCCACTTAGGTATTCACTCATTACGCTGTCTATCCCCTTCAGTATCCATGATGTAAGTGTAATTTAACATAATAGTCTCTGTAATCATTTTATACATCGCTCTGACTGCAGTTCCTCTGTTAAAGGTATACGTCCTTTATAGCATCAGGTTTTCTTTAGTGTACTTCAACTCATGCCAGCATCTGTTAAAACATGTAGGTTTAATCAGGTCTTACTTTGCGATAAAGACAAGAGCCCCCAAAATCTGATTTGACATTTTCTGAATTCAAGATCTTAACTTTTGCATTACTGTAACCCACCATGCAGCACTTGTATTTCAATAAATGTATGTATTTGTCAAACTTGTGTACATTAATGTGTACATTCACAAACAATTAAAGAGAGACAATTTCACTTTTGAAAGAAGAAATAAAGTCTTGGAAGTTAGGGAAAATTCAATTTGCTATTCTTCTGTAATTGCCACTTATGGCCACGTTGGCCGCTGTTCAGCAAAAGAGTCTTGCAGGAAATCAACACTAATCCAAGACCTCTGTAGAAGTTTGGGTATAATGTGGCATTCCTTCCTTGAAACAATGGCGTGTTACACCAACATCCAATGAGATCTTATTACTACTGACTTTTCTGTATTTGTGAGAGTAAAACACACCTATAAACCTTTTTATCTTCTCCTTTTCTCTCTTAGACAACGTGGTGATCTACTCAGAGAAAGACGAGTTTGACAAACTAAAAGCTCCTCCTCAGAAGACGGTGAAAAGGTGAGAGACACATCTCATTTACAAAACAACTTCGCCACACCGCTACTCTTGGGTTGAACAAACTGTAAGAGCAGACAAACTGGCATCCAGCATGTTATGACCTGAGCTATGCTGAGTGGACAAAACACGAAGGACACAAAACAAGCTTCCTAACGGAGTCCATGAACCTCTAATGATTACCATGAAGGCATGTTGCTAAAGGTAATGAGTGAGGCGAGGATCATTATGTGTCTACAAAGGTAGAGCGGCTACCATGTTTAGCTTAATTATATTAAGGGTATGCGTGTCTACAATTACTGTGTATATGTATGCATCATTTTGTGCCGATTCATCAGTTAGGTGTATGTGTCTGTTCTGCTTCATAGCTCTGCATGTATTTAATATATAGGAAATATACTGTAGAACACTTTATATTCACCACTTATATAGACCACTGTGTCGTCATCTTGAGTATCCATTGTGAGTGTATGTGTATGTGTGTGTGTGTGTGTGTGTGTGTTTGTTTGTGGCGTCACAGAGGCTGTTACACAACAGAGAGGAGCTTTTATCATTTTTTCAGCATCTGCCTGTAATTTGGCCACCACAGAACAAGTCACAGCAGTAGGAACACTGTAGCTGCTGGCCTCTGTTTTTGCTGTATCTAGGTATATGTATGTGTGTGTGTGTGTGTGTGTGTGTGTGTGTGTGTGTGTGTGTGTGT